CAGCGGCGCGCATGCGGAAGTGGGGACGACAGAGGCAACGCCTGCGGTCGCAGGCGAGTGAGTCAGCCACGTTTCAGTCACTGGTCGACGCACGCATCACGTCAGACATCTTGATGTGCGTCATGGGTCACCTAATTCCGGACCGCGAGACAGGCTCCGAGCACGCGGTCAAACGAGCACTAACCAGGGTTTTCAAGGAGCCGTAAATACGTGCTTCGAGCTGCAAACCTGAGGTTCAGACTCTCCAGTCCTCAGTTGTCGTGACACCAGCTGCGTTTGGGGACGTTGGTTTCCTGGTTTCCAGGGCCAGCATCCGGATGGCAATCGTGCACGATGCATTGAAGCGCGCGTGCGGCGATGTGTTTGATAAGACGGTTGATGCGTTATATTATCATATGCTTATGTGTCGCTTCCACGAAACCTAGGGTCCACGGTCCCCTCGCCCTTATGTCATCCCGTGGTCGTGCACATTTATACACGTTATACAAGTTATACTATCATATGCTTGTGTGTCGCTTCCACGAAACCTAGGATCCACGGTCCCCTCGCACTTATGTCTTCCCATGGTCGTGCACATTTCCATGCCGTCCTTTTCCAAAGGACGAGCAATCCGTGGGCTATGAATTGGGATGAGTGTTCATTTTGTTTCCTTCCATTACGAGATTCTGCTAGTGCTGAACCTAGTTCGCCAAGGAACGTCACTCGCTGTCACCACCTGAGCGACGCGACTGTATCTCTTCCTGTCCGGCCGCGCGGGGTGGCTGCTTTGTCACTCACTGCTTGTGCTGTTTCATACACACTCGGCGCTGGATTCTCCCAGGGGGGGGGGGGGGGGCTCGCCTCGTGCCGTACCGTGACCGTCGGAGCAGGACCGCGTGCCCGGCCGGCCCGCGGCGCCGGGTCGGGGCGTGAAGAGAGGCTTCGCAGCTGCGGCCGACCGGGAAACTCCAACGACGGGGTGGCGCGCGCCCAGGCGTGTAAGACGGCAGCCGTTGCCACTGGGCGGTCGTACTTGGAAGCGTTTACGCCCCTTGATGTAATCTGGGCGATGGGATTTTGGCTACGTCACTTTGGAGAGATCACCGTCTGTGACATCGGGATGAATGTTTGTGTGTTTTCGGAGGCTGGCTGGGACCAATATATCGTGGGCATGCGTGTTCGGTACATGGCTATCCTGAGAACAGCAAGAGCCATAACTGTTTTGAATCTGTGCCATCATCGGGAAGGTTTGGGTCTTTTTCAGATCCAGGTCATTGCCTTACGTGTGTATGGGTTCAAATAAACATTGAACAAAGGCCCGAGCTCAGGATGAACCTGCGCAACATAAAAGCACTGTTTCGCGCACTTTGTTCAGAAGCGTTGCCTATAACTACCTTATTTGTGTGCAGATATGCTTGTCTCAACACCAGGTTAGCTAGAACCCCAGGCCAAGATTACTGAAACTCATTTTTTACTCATTTCAGCCGCAATATTTTGGCCACGTTTTAGTATTTTGCCTACTGTATTTACCGTGTCTGCCCTCATCCCGCAACCTGGTAGAGGTGAGGAAGTTGATTTCATGCCCGCGAGGCTCTGAAAATACATAAAGACATGCCTCCAGTCTACCTGGTTGCTGACAAACGCCATTTTTAGGAGCGCTGTGTGGTAACTCTTCTGTAGGCGCGCGTGACAGGGCGGAGATACTCATTTGATTTGCATTGAATATTGCACGAAGGAATAAAGTGAATGCATCTTGAGCTAATCTTTCTTCAGCTTCCTTCGTCCTATGGACAATATGTAGCAAAGATGTAAAGCGGAAATTACATTTGTACGTCCAGTACTAGCAATACAAAACTGGGGATGGCGCCCGACGTCGGAGCCGAGCGGCGGTCGCCATCTGCGTGACCGGCCAAGCACGTGCGGAGGGCACGCTGCTACGTTTACAAAACCCTTGCACGATTCAAACTTGGTATACAAAAACATATATTGAGATCTTGTTCAGGTGGCCTCACGCTGACTTTTTCCGCGGGGATCTATCTTTGTTAGTTTAGAAATTGTACGGGGTCGCATCGCAGTCCCCTACTTCGCTTGCGTAATGAAAAGAGTCAACCCGGGTTATGGATTAGCAGCATATCAAAACCGTTATCATATAGAAACGCCCAGTACCGCAAAGCTGTCAATCTGGGCTAATTAATATTTGTGCTAGGACATGAGCCTATGACGAAAGATGTTGGCGCTTTTTTACCACCCATGAATGACACCAATGATTGTTAAGTCCCGAAAAGTTCTTGCTGGTTGCTGATTCACGTCGCCGCTCGTGCGTGCGCAAAATGACCATTGCATTCAATGCATCCCAAATCACCAATCAAGCACAACAAAACTGCCGCTCGTTTTTTGGTGCCCCAAGATCCCAGCGATGTGCGCCGTCTAGATCTTACCCCGTGCATCCACCTTATTGTTCAGTATCTATACACCGAGGCTGAAGGATGAAATTAATCGACATTCAACGCTTGTCCGTCGCCAAATGGGATCGATCTCTGGCCGCTGAGGCCTCTGATCACGGGCGCTCAGCTGACCCGCGCCACCCCTCGGCCCGCGTACCCGTACCGAGGCTGTGTGTAGTGAGTCAGCGGGCGGCTGCGGTGGCGCCATCTGCTCCGCGCCGTGCGCGTGGGAGGAGCCGCCCGCCGCTCTCCGCTCGGCAGCCGGACAGAGGCGTCGCTCCCGTCAGTGCTGCGTCAGAGGGGAAGGCCGGTCAAGGGCGAGAACCGACCGCGGACCGGAAGTGGAAGCCCCGTGTCCGGCGAGTCGAAGCCGTCAGTGAATCCTCGCGTCGTATCCTAGGTGCGCGGCTGGTAATTCCTGAGGCCAAATCAGACTTTTCGTAAAATATGCAGCTGGCTTTGTTAAGCGCGGATTCCTTCTCTTAAGTGAACTCATTAACACTGAACATGAAGCGAACAGACCGAAATGACCAGAGCGAACAACTTAAAGGCAGCTAAACAAACAAAAGCGGCGCGCTCACTGTGGCCTTATGTAGAAATCCGTAGGTGCATCATCCGCTTTGAATCATGCTGAAACACAATGTTTGTGGCATTCTGATCCATCGGAATGAGCCTGTAACGTCGAAGTACTGTCAAGGCTCCATCTCTTTTGACTCTATCCGGGCGGCGTTGTCCTACTTACCTCGTCAGCAGCATACGAGACGACGGGAATTAGAACTAACACGGACCGTAAAGTCTGTAATCGACACCAGACCCCACCCCTTATTTACGTGGAGGCCTTCGCCATTTGAAATTACAGTGGTGGGCGTATTTTGCCCTTTTGTGGACAGATGTTGCGGGTTGTCGCCGTGGGTCAGCGTGGCGACTTTTACATCCGCGCTGGTTTGGTCGGGTTGAATCAGCGACAACCTTTCGGTATTCATGTTGTGTTTGCTGCATACTGGAAGCATCCGCCGGTGGTGCGGTGGTGACTCAGTCCCCCACGTGCACGGCCTTCGGAAACTGGTCTGACCACTGGGCCAGAGGCCTGTGAGGTCTTGGCGGCCTTTATCAGCTCTGTCGTGCAGGGGGAGCTCAGGGGAAGGGTTTATTACCAAGCTGCTGACGACGTTGTCACGGTACGAAGACATTAAGAGAATGCATATCCTGCTGAGGTGAGACCCGTAGGAATGCGCACACGTGCGACTGGCTGAAATGCTGCATTAATCAAAACTGGCATTGCCGTAATGTGTGGTGTCCCTGAGTATCTAGCGTGGTTAGCCACATGCGGTTTTCATGGATATGCAAACAGCACTCAACGGACAACGATTTGGCTATTACTATTTATTACTTAGAACTGAAGTAATAACATTTGCATCGGTGAGAATGCTTTATATTTCTAACGTCTTGCCTGCAGGGCATTGATCGGTTTAGGCGGATGACCAGTGCGGATTGGTGTGAGATAAATCTGCTTGCGTGAAGCAGTGCGTGCTATAATATACGGCGAAATATTCGTTGAACATTAAATACCGCAATACGACATGAGTCGTCACTACCTTTTTGCAATTTTGCCTTCTGGTGGAGAGATGAACCTATCGTAAGATGGCTGCCTTGATAAGTACCGAGAAAACGGGCTAACGAAGTTTTGTCCTTAATCATAGACGAAAGCGAAACGAAAACGAAAACAAAAACCAGCCGGTCTTCATATCACTACATCACTTTATGATCCTTCCGTGACTCGCATTCCTAACACTTCCACGATCCATCGGAGCTAATCCCTATTTGTAGCAGAACTTCAACTTAAAACCATTCAAACCACACCAATCAAGGCTGCGTCTCCATGTTCCCATCCAGGTTCTAGCAGAGAGCACCGTGTATGCGCGTTTGCCCGTGTACTGTGAAAACGGTATGCAACGTCCTACGCTGCCAGCGCCTTACGCCATTGATAACGCTGACGTCTCATGCTGTTGATAACGCTGGCGAATCACGCTATCGATAACGCCGGCGTCTCACGCTGTCGAAACTCCGGCGTCTTACGCTGTTGCTAACGCTGGCGTCTCACGCTATCGGCAACGTCGGCATATCACGCTGTCGATAACGTCAACGTATCACACTGTTGATAACGTCGGCGTATCACGCTATCGACAACGTCGGCGTATCACGCTGTCGATAACGCCGGTGCTTCACGCTGTCGAAATTCCAGCGTCTCACGCTGTTGACAACGCTGGCGTCTCACGCTATCGACAACTTCGGCGTATCACGCCGTCGATAGCGTCGGCGTATCACGTTGTCGATAACGTCGGCGTCTCACGCTGTTGATAACGCTGGCGTCTCACGCTATCGACGTCGGCGTATCACGCTGTCGATAACGTCGGCGTATCACGTTGTCGAGAACGTCGGCGTATCACGCTGTCGATAAAGTCGGCGTCTCACGCTGTCAGTAACATCGGCGTCTCACGCTGTCCATAACGTCTGCGTAGCGCGCTGTCGACAGTGTCGGCGTCTCCCGCTGTCGATAACACCGGCGTCTCGCCGCAGGTGACCACGTGACTCCGGTCCACAAATGCTGGACGCCGCGGGGCACAGTCGGCATGTGTCAGACGGTGAAGCAGTGCAGTCGGACCGCCAGCTTCACATACGTGCTGCGCTCGATACGAACGCGGCTCTGCTACTGGCGAAGCGGACAGCCCTTCATCTGCTGCCCCGCACCCGGTTCGTGAGCAGGGTGGAGTGTTTTACGGCGTGCCTGCTTCCTGGGGGATCACGCCTGACGATGAACCCTTGTGCGCACAGCCCTGGCAAGGAAACCGCTCTGGTTCAGAGCCACTCGGACTTGCCGGTTCTTCTCGAATCTTTGTTTGGGCTGACCTTCTGCATCAGAGTAGCTTTTTGTCGATGCCAACGATTTCATTTCGACCGCTCAGGTGTTGCATGAGGGTCCAAATACATCTTGCTCACCTGACAGTCTGGCCGTCCCCTGGAAGTCTGACCGTCCGCTAGTAGCCTGAACGTGACCTGGCAGGCCTGTCCTCCCCTGACGGCCGCCTCTCTGCGCCTGCCTGCCGCAGCGAGCGCCACAACCTCCGGTAGAGATTTCTGGCCGACCTTCTCCAGTGGCAGGCAGCCAGAACGACTGCCAACCGTCGCGCCCCTGCCGCCCCTGCCCGCTAGCCCGGAGCCGTCCGTGCCGGAGCAGGAGGGCGGGGAGGTACCCATGAAGGAGACGATGGACCAGATGCCGACGGTGAAGCCATTTCCGATGGAGCGTGAGGAGCGTGTCACCAAGAGGCCGAGGGCGAGGACCACGCGCCCACCGAGTCAGAGTCACGTGGATAACAGTGAGTGAACCTGTGATACGAAGGAAGGGTCGTGCACCACCTCGCAGAAACACGTCGCGCATTGGTATAAGCCATAGCCGAAGGGTTGTCGCTTGTATCTCCCGGCTTATTTTGCTGGTCAAACGATGTGTGCCTAATCGCGTTTTCCCAGTTAGACTTACGCGCGTTCCTAAGGCGGCCGGTGAGCAATGCTGGCCCGAAAATATGCATCATACTGAGCAGACGGGACGAAAGACTTTTAAATGAAGCATCTGAGGTGCGGTGGTGTCCGAGCTGGGCGTGTCTACTGCCGTATGTGACCCGTCCGACCCACCCACGGGAGGCGACGCACCCCACTTGTGGCGTCGGGCCGTGATATCGAGCCGGGCCATCGCTCTAACGCTTCATCGCGTCCTGCGACAGTCCTCGCGGGCAATGGCGGCACTGAAAGACCGGTCGAGCTGAAAGGATTGTGATCTGGCCCTTTCCCGCCCCGCCCGGCCCCGACGAGCCGCCAACTGGCCCTGTCCCGCGCCACTCAGTCCTCTCCCGTCCCGCCCGGCCCCGACGAGCCGCCAACTGGCCCTGTCCCGCGCCGCCCCGCCCTGTCCCGCGCCACCCAGCCCTGTCCCGCGCCGCTCGGTCCTGCCCCGCGCCACCCACCTGTCCCACCCCGCCCAGCCCTGACGAGCCGCTAGCTGGCCCTGTCCCGCCCCACCTAGCCCTGATGAGCTGCCAGCTGGCCCTGTCCCGTCTCGCCCAGCCCTGACGAGCCGCCAGCTGGCCCTGTCCCGCCCCGCCCAGCCCTGACGAGTCGTCACATGGCCCTGTCCCACCCCGCCCAGCCCTGACGAGTCGTCAGCTGGCCCTGTCCCGCCCCGCCCAGCCCTGACGAGTCGTCAGCTGGCCCTGTCCCGCCCCACCCAGCCCAGACGAGTCGCCAGCTAGGCCTGTCCCGCCCCGCCCCGCTCTGTCCCTCCCCGCCCAGCCCTGACGAGTTGCCGGACGGCCGGCAGTCTGCGGCCGATCCGATCCGGTGGTGGTGGCCGATCCGTCTGCGGCTGACATTCTGCGGCACCTCCACCCGGACGTCGACCCCTTGTTCTCCGTGGCCGGCGGCGCCTTTGGCAAGGAGGCTCGCGTCGCCGGGGGCTCCACCAGCGTCAGCGGCCGCTGGCCCTGGATGGTGAGTGCTGGCCGCACAGCTGGCCAGAAGCGGCAGCAGCCTGTCCCACGTGTCCTGACCGGCGTGAGCGTGCTCTGGTGTCACTGCGCTTGGTGGAGACCTGCTGACCATCTCTGCTGGGTGGTCGTGGTGACTTTGCGCTCGAACTACGCAGGATGGAGAGACTGACATTTGCGCTATGCTTCGCCACTTGATAAGACGGCCGCAGGCCGAGAAGCTATTGAATACTGAAAGCCGCGGCGTCCCCCGCGTCCAGCCCGTTTGCAGCGCCACCTTGGCCGCGACCGAGGCCCATCTGCTTCGACGCCCCGCGGGATTTTGGCTCGCATGTATTGCACAAAAATAAATACGTATGGGTGAGAAGGTCTCACTGAACCAGTTGAGACCTCAATGACCTCAAAGGTTTCAAGTCAAACTGATGTTGAGGTTACTAGAGTTCACTAAAGAGCAAGGTGCGTCCGTTGAAATACAAAGATTAAAGGTTTAAAGCATACGAAATCGAATTTCATTAACCAATTTAAACAACACTATTTTTGGAAGTTCACTCATACCCCTTTAAACTTTCAATCACGGGTCAGATCAGATGACGTTAACCTGCTCACTACGGCACATACACAGCTCCAGCATTTCCCTTTTGTCCCTGCTTGTGAACGCGTTTTTAACGGCCAAATAACCAATGTCATTTATTTACCGAAAATCCCTAAACACACCAATTGTACTATGGCGGCCTATCTTTCACTCAAGCTTTAGCAAAATTGATTCAGACCGAAAGGGTTACCAGCCTTTTAACATTTTTCACGCCTTTTCCGGGTGGACCTCTGTGGGTCGCTTTGGGTCAGTGACCTGGTATGACCTGGAATGATAGGTTCGACAGAGGGTGTTAAAAAAACAAGGAACGGGTAAGCGAAATGTCAGTCCTCTGTGCTTTTGAGATGTTTTGTTTGCCGGTGAAAAACTGAAGGGGTCTCGAAATGCCTCCATCGGCCCGGCGCGATGACACATACGCTTTAGATGGCTTCAGTCCTTGTAAGCTGTTTGTGTGGTCACACTTCTGTGCTGAACTGCTCCAAAAGATTGATGCCGTTTTCAATCTAAAGAGCAGTCTTGTCCCTTGCCCCAGGCCGTGATCGGGAAGGCCAACGGCTCAGATATCACCTGGCTCTGCGGCGGCAGCATAATCGATGAGTACCACGTCATCACAGCGGCGCACTGCGTGCAAGGCAGGTCAGTACCACGTGACCACTCAGTCCGCCGCCGCAGCCGTGTCTCAGAAACCGGTCGGTTGTCAAAGCTGGTAAGCCCGGGAGTGGAAAACCCGCCTCCAAGCTCCGAACGGAGCCCTGACGTGGAGTTCCAGCTGGACAAGCTGTGTCCCATCGCCGGGAAAAAAGTGTCGCGTGTAGGGCCACATGCCCTGCGACATGGTCACGAAATGTCACGCATTACACAAAGACTGCGGGAAAGAATTCGATGGCGTGAGGGTGGATTATCTGGTAGAAGCAGATAGCTTCGTCGCACATGCCGGCGGTGTTTTTTTTTTTGTGCTCATTATTCGTTCAACACCCAGCCGGATTCCTGCGGTAAATTTCTGAACGGGTTTGGAGAATTACACGCGTGTGGGTAGTTGAAAATGCCAGGTTCCAGGGAAATGATGAATAGCACAGGCGCCTGTAATCAGCGATGCTGTTTTTTCCCCTTTCTGATATCCTTGATTTTGTATGGTAGGCGGGCGACAGTGCAGTTTTGTACAGTACACGTTTAAAAGTCCAGCACATCAAATGTCACACTAGTGTCGCACTGTCCCGGCCTGTGACCGTGTTTGAAGTGGGCGCAACGCGCAGCAGTGCGAAGGTATTCCAGTATTTAATTATCATACCCGAACTGTGAAAGTTATCAGGGAAGTGGAAGCGACATGGCTGTGTCCCGCAAGGAAGTCGCTAACAGGATCCGTCCAAAGCCCATGGTGTGCACACGGAAAGGCCGCGTCCGCGCCTCCTGTGACGTCGAAGTCCTGGAACTTACCGGTTACCATTTGTCCACAACTTGAACGGCAGATTCCTGCATTTGTATAAGTTTCGAAGTGGGTTCATTGACGGGTTACTAGCGTATAAAGCCACATTAGGAAAGTTATCACGCACTTTGCGTACCTACGGCTTCCCCCCAGCCTTTGCCGTTAGCCTGACAGGGAAAGCCGTCGCTAATAACACCCTAGGCGATGCGGCGGAAAAATTTTGGTCTGAAAATGTCGGTGCCTAGGCATGATATGCTTTCTAAACCCCAGAGTGTCTTGGATCGGAAGAGCTCATTGCATGCAAGCGGGGGCGTTGCTGGATTTCAAGCCACCGGCGGCCAACGCTAATTCCCAGGCACGCACCGAAGCACAACAACCTTGCTTATGAACCAGGGCCGGCGCAGCTCCCAGCCGAGCTGGAAGGCATGAAGCCACGCGAAACGAACGCGTGTTCAAAAGAAGAGTAGGCACTTAAGATTTGGCTAAGAATCCAGCTGGGCGTTAAACTGAGCAGCACGCAACATGCACGCTGGCACGTTTTCCCTTGTCGCCGTTTCCGCTCCGCGCGGCCGTGGACCTGCCGCCACCAACGCCCGCCTCTCCCTCCAGGCCGAACGTGGTCCACTTCGGCGACTCCAACATCGCGGCCGACTTCAACAGCGGCGACCAGTCGGAGCGGCGGCGCATCGCCAAGATCACGCTGCACCCGAGGTACCGGCCGCCGCGCGCCTACCACGACCTGGCCGTGGTGACGCTTCGCCGGGCGGTGCAGTTCTCGCGCCGGGTGAGGCCCATCTGCCTGCCGCCGGCCGACCTGCGGCTCCGGCGCGGGCAGACGGCCAAGATCACCGGCCACGGCTACATGGAATTCAGTGAGTCTCCGAATATGTTCGGCGGAAGGCTCGACGAATGGGACTGAACGGTCAGGAGTGCGCAGTCGTGTACTTTGAGCGTTGTCGTGGGCTGTTGTACCGCATCACGCGTGCGCAGCACCCTCCAGTTGATTTATATAGATGCTTCGCGCGTTCATACATTCACAGCCTATTTATAGTCGTTTTCCTACATGTATCACCGCATCGTCCCTTCTAATGAGGATGGATAGTAATGGTGATTCACATCTTGTCATCGCCCATGACCTCGGATCTCGACACTCCATTTGCTACCCTCCACGAGAGAGCCTGCACGTCCAGACTCTCTGCCACCCTCAGCGTTTCTTCCTCGTGTTCACGTGTCACATGTGTGGCAGACGGCGGCGAGCTGACGCCGCAGCTGCAGGAGGCGCAGATCAAGCTGGTTCGCCGCAAGGTCTGCAACGCCTCGTACGCCCGGCTAGGCGATGCGTTCTTCGACAAGTTCCCGAACGGCATCCTCAGCCACGTGATCTGCGCCGGCCAGGAGAAGGGTGGCGTCGACGCCTGCCAGGTGAGGCCCGGCAGCTGAGGCTGCGTCATCACTGCCACAGATCATAGACAGCAACCGTCGTCATATGCTCTTTTGATCCAAATGCTGCTCAGCGGTCTCTGAAGCCGCCTGAGCGTCCGAGTAATGTAGCCGGATGTCGCCACTGATGGGATCGTACCTCAGTTCGTCTTTCCAGTCCATCTGTGGCGTGTTGCACCACACAGAACTGATCTGCCCCTGGCACCATTTCCGTGCGGACAGCAATGAAGGTTTCAGGCTGGTCGACGCGTATGGCGTCCGCCACAGCGGCCCCCCCCCCCCCCCCCTCTCCTGACCGCACCTTTGCCGTCCCTAGGGCGACTCGGGCGGACCCCTGATGCAGCACGACGACGTCAGCAACACCTACTACCAGATCGGCGTCATCGGCAGCGGCTTCGGCTGCGGCAACCCCGAGTTCCCAGGCCTCTACACCAGTATCAAGCACCACCTCAACTTCATCCGGGCCGTGACCAGGAGTCGAAGCAGCCGACTGTCTGACCTCACGGAGGCGATCGTGCCGCGCCGGTAGCGCGCCGCTGGCCGGGACGCCAAGCTCGCCGGTCCGCCTGCCGCGGCAGAGATCCGACCGGGCCACGGATCCATGCGGCAGAGATCCGACCGAGCCACGGACCCGTGCGGCAGAGATCCGACCGGGCCACGGATCCATGCGGCAGAGATCATTGTGACGGGCCACCAGCTGAACCGAGCCGTCGCGGTCAGCGCAGCCAGCAGTGATCAGCTTGCCACGCTGACGCTGCGAACCGCCGAACAGTGCGGCCAGCTCGTGCGCGGCGGCCGTGTGCTCCCAGCTCTCACGAGCTGTCACGCTTGGCGGTGGGTCTGTTGAACGCTCGGCTCGAGCGGAGGCAGTGACAGCGGGACACGTGAGGCCACCGACGTCTGCAGGACAGAAACGGGTCTGCACTGTCGACCTGGCATGTTTCTAGTGCAGGCAAGCCATCGCGATCTGTAAAGTTGCTTTGCTTGTGGTTTGTCATGTAATTTGCCAAGTCCTCGGATCTCCGCAATGCGTGTTCTTGGGACGCATCGTATCCAAAGCCAAACTGTCGATCTCCTGAGCTGAACTGTTACGCGAGATGAATCCTACCCCAGCCAAACGGCCTTACGCAAGCCACCGATCTCCGCAGTGTGAGATGAAGAGAAGACTACGTGTTCAACCCAGCCATCCCTACCACCGAGTGCCTGTTGGGACGAGCCTCGCGCTAAGACATGCGTCAGATCTGCTTTTGTTTGTGTTAGATGAATGAGACTTCAATAAAAAAACATCCATATTTGCAGCGTATCTGTCGGGAACGAACCACATGTCGGCCAAGACACCCTGTAAGGCACATGTCACGAGTCTAGCCCAGCCTGGCCACCAATCCCTGCGGTGCGCCTGCTGTGACCGGACAAGGTGTGCGCAGTCTCACGTCTCCCACTGTCTGGCCTCGAGCCTTCACTGTAGCCGCTGTGTCCAGCACTGACTGCTGTGGGCCCTCAACACCGGCGGGCCACGCCATCCGCTGGCGTGAGTCACGACAGCCGCTGGCGGGAGCCACAGCCGCTGGCGGGAGCCACACCAGCCGCTGATGGGAGCCACACCAGCCGCTAGCAGGAGCCACGCCAGTCGCTGGCTGGAGCCATACCAGCAGCTGGTGTGAGTCACACCAGCTGCTGGCGAGAGCCACGTCAGCGGAAGGTGCGGGCCGGCCGGCCGTGCGTCGATCGGCATTAACACGTGTTCAAAACAAAACGCGAATGATTCTAAATAGCTGTATATTGCACCTCACGTCGCCAATATTGACGAAAAAATACATCACAATTCCAGTTTTATGAGCATTTCTAACATGACGCAGGCTGCCCCAACAAGTACACAAAGGGCAGTTTGGAACCGGAGGATTACACTGCCGACATGCTACTGCAATGAACGATATTGCATGGCAAATGCGCGGATCGGGTAACGGACGCCACGGATTATGCATTTCACCAAAAATAGCTTTGTCGTGTGAGGTCACATAAGGCATGGAGCCAATATCGCCACTCCGAGATGTATACACAAACCGAGCAACACCTTTGACAAAATACACTATTGTCGCAATAATATCTGTAGAGATTCTTGCAAAACGGTAACATGTGAAGAAAGTGAGACCCAAACGTCAGATCACAGCGACTGAGAACTAACATGGAATAGCAACGCACCACTTTACAGCGACTATATGTCACGTTCGACCGTCATGCAGCAGCGTTTCTCTACAACAGGTGGAGTACGTCCAGCCGCGGGTCTGAAAATTGTCACATCCCAAACCCGCATCTTAATTACCCCACGCCGACATGCAATCCTTCATGAGCTTATATGCCCCGTCATGCCATACACATGTCATTACTTTACGTCCAGTGGCATGTCAGGCATGTGTGCCCGCCGACACCCCCTAATTGAATGTGTACTTGGTTAAGCTTTTAGCATGGGATTAGACGAGATCGTCCTCTTCCTAAGGCGTACCCGTTATACTTCGACAGCCGTGGCCACGCGCACTGCAGATTTTTTGCTGCTTGATCAACACACCAAATGAGCTGTGAATGCCACTCACGCCTAAGCGCGTGACACGTGGCTGGCACGGCATATGGCTCAGGCTCTGCTCGCGACCCTCAGGAGTCTCTGCTTAGACGGAAGATGACCTGCTTAAGCCATGACCTGGCTCCCACTCGTGGCCTTCTGCTGCTGACCTGCGCTTCGGAGTCATATGTTAACCACGACCACCACAGTGGCCTCCGTCACCACAGCCCAGCTAGAAGAGCGATCGGTCGCCCCCGATCCGAGTCAGCATCGGCGGGCGCTTCGTCAAAAGGATCACGCCTCACCCCGCAGGCGAGTAGGCCATCTCCACCGACCAGGTCCTCACGTGGAGTGACCAATCCCTTCCACTCACTCCACCGTCGCCAGAAGCCCTGAGTGCATGAGGCAATCAGCTCTGCTCGCAGAGTCGCGCCACTTCGGCCGCGATCTTGTCCAGCTCGGCGGCGGCACGGGATTGCGGGTATTTGGCGCCAAAATCGTGCCCCGCCTCGCAGCAGGCGGCGAGGTCGCAGTCCAGCGGCACGGAGCCGAGCAGAGGCAGACCGAAGTCAGCCGTGACCTTGGCAGCCGAGCTATCGTCGGCGAACAGCCGGTACCGCTCCTGGACCGGGGGACAAGGTCAGACTGGTCCACGGACGTGCGTGCGTGCGTGCGTGCGTGCGTGCGTGCGTGCGTGCGTGCGTGCGTGCGTGTGTATGTGTGTGTGCGTGTGTGAGAGGGGGGGGACCATAACACTTCTCGGGTGGGAAGGCTGGTCAGACGGCTGTTCAGGTAGATAAGGCAAACCAGGCCGGTGATGTAGTGAAACTGCGAATGGTGGCATGACCAAAGCGTTGTTGAGTGCTGCTGTGACTGGGACGCAGAAACATGCCGCCAGAAGATGCACAAGTACAGCATCTGGTCTGCTGCACCAGCACTGCACGGAGAGTGCAGCGTCTGGTCTGCTGCACAATCACTGCACTGAGAGTGCACCGTCTGGTCTGCTGCACCATTACTGTACTGAGAGTGCGCCGTCTGGCCTGCTGCACCATCGCTGCACTGAGAGTATACCGTCTGGTCCGCTGCACCATCGCTGCACTGAGAGTACACCGTTGGTCCGCTGCACCATCGCTGCACTGAGGGTGCAGCGTCTGGTCTGCTGCACCATGACCGCACTGAGAGATACAGCATCTGGCCCACAGCATGTGACCGTGACGCAGCGAGGACGTGTTGCCTACATCTCGTCACGTGGGTGGCCAACGGTGCTGACCCAATAACCACGTGACCCATCCGGCAGCCGGCGCCCGGCGTCCGGACGCTGCGGCCAGCGGCCCGGAAGCCAGCTGGCGCCGCCGCCGGCGCCAGCGCGCCTGCGCGAACAGGCGGCGCGGTTGGGTGCCGCCCGACACAAGCGCGCATGCGATGAGCACCGACCCGATGCGACGGCCAAACTGTCACGCGACGGTGATGAGGGGCGTCGCGCGGGCGGCTGAGCCCGCGCGCTGCCGGTCTGTGCGCCCTGCCGCCAGCGTGCCACGTGCCGAGGTCGGGCTCGCCTCGATGGCTCTATGCATGGCCGTGTTCATCGTCTCAGCTTCTTGGCATTGCCGCAGCAGAGGCGAAATGAGGGGAATACCCGGCTGTGTCTGCTCCAGCCATCTCTGCTCTGTCTAGCGGTCTGCTGGATGCACCTTGCTGCGGGTTGAGTCACGTATGACGTGCTGCAAAGCCTCACATTTGACCGTGTTCCTTGGCTTAGCGAGCGTCGATAAAACCGGATACATGATAATTGAAGTATGATAAATTCTCCGAAAGGACCCGCATTGTTGAGAGGACTTCAGTAAACAATATGGAACGAAGTTACAGACGAATGAAGGATTGTCACCCATGTATGTTCACGTACTTGAAGCCTGAGCGTGGAACATAATGTGCGTACAAAGATGGTGTTGCCATGCTATACCATGGTGTTTACCAGCTGCATGTAAATGTGACATGACTTGTCCTGGAAATGTTAAGACCCGAATTATCGCGGCATTTAACTTCGCTGCTCAAGTTGACGGTAATTACATGATTATGAGCGCACCTTGCACCTCCTGTTCGCACATACTGTCGATACGTTGCGATATGCCACGTAATAACATGAACAAAGCATGCACTTTTCAACCCATGAAAAATTTTCATAATGCATGTATATATATATATATATATATATATATATATATATATATATATATATATACAATTCCCATCGTAAAGCACCATTTAAGTCAGCAGGACCCACATATTTTGTTCACGTGCAGTAGTACGAGTTAAACTTATCACAGAGTAGCCGACACATTCGAATGCTGTCCAGTCTGCGCCGTTCTGCACGCTCCGCTGGTATGTCGTCCGTTTACCTGACAGCAGGGGCAGACGAAGTCGGCCATGTTCTCGACGAGTCCCAGTATGTGGAGCCCGACCTTACGGCAGAAGGTGATCTGGCGACGCACCACGCCTGCCGGCACGACCGCGGCCGGTGTGACACACCTCACCGCAGCGCACGCGCACACACGCACGCACGCACGCACGCACACGCGCACGCACACGCCGGGAAGCTCGGAAGAGCTCGGCTGATGCAGAGGGTGCTCTCGGCTGCTTAACCACATGAGACACGCAGGACGGGACCGACTGCATGGCCAGGATGGCACTGAAGGCAAAATCGAACTTAAATCGGTCCCATCACAGCACGTGGACGCTTGGATGTCCTTGAGAATTTGGCGCGCAATGGATCATTCGGTGGTGCAACTGCCCCCCCCCCCCCCCCCCCCCCAGCTCCTACATCCGCTGCACAACAGCCGTGTGTTCGACAGGCGACAGGCAGTCACCGTTATTTGTCTTGTGTCAGCGATTGACAATGCTGCTACGTTGCCATTATCCAATCTAAAGAGAAGGAACACGCATCAGTTTAATACCTCAGTTGTCTACCTAGGACTGACATGAATACCGTACGAATAGCGCAGTCCACGACATTCAGAACCGTCTCCTTGCACGTCGTGCGGCAGTTCACCGCCCACTAACCACTAAATACTCTATTACGTCACGGCCGCTTCGGGGTCGTCGCAGTGAAATTATCGTTTTCACACCATTTCAGGCCGCGCTGCATTCCCTGAACTGACTGAGCCCGCTCGGCCGCCTACCGGCAATGCCCACGCGTCACGTGGTCACCGGCCCCTGTGTGTGGACTTACAGTAGGGGATTTTCCGCTGATTTGCTAGGCAGTTTGGCTTACACTCCTAGCCAGTTACAAAGAGGCAACTGTCCGTCGCAGATGGATCTGCTACTCTATCCACGTTCACCCTCCACGTACCCTTCATCCCGTACCCTCGCAACGTCTCGCCATTCCTGGAGGCGGCTTTAAACCGCACGCCGGAATGATGGTCGCCCTGACGGGGAGTGCCGCCCTCGCTGGGGGTGCCGCCATGACTGGGAGTGCCGCCCTCGCTGGGAGTGCCGCCCTGACTGGGAGTGCCGCCCTGACTGGGAGTGCCGCCCTCGCTGGGAGCGCCGCCATGACTGGGAGTGCCGCCCTCGCTGGGAGTGCCGCCCTGACTGGGAGTGCCGTCCCGGCTGAGAGTGCCGTCACGACTGGGAGTGCCGCCACGGCTGAGAGTGCCGCCACGGCTGAGAGTGCCGCCACGGCTGGGAGTGCCGCCCTCGCTGGCAGTGCCGCCATGACTGGGAGTGCCGCCCTGACTGGGAGTGCCGCCCTCGCTGGGAGTGCCGCCACGACTGCGAGTGCCGCCCTGACTGGGAGTGCCACCCTGACTGGGAGTGCCGCCCTGACTGGGAGTGCCGCCCTGACTGGGAGTACCGCCCTGACTGGGAGTGCCGCCCTCGCTGGGAGTGCCGCCACGACTGCGAGTGCCGCCCTGACTGGGAGTGCCACCCTGACTGGGAGTGCCGCCCTCGCTGGGAGTGCCGCCCTGACTGGGAGTGCCGCCCTGACTGGGAGTGCCGCCCTCGCTGGGAGCGCCGCCATGACTGGGAGTGCCGCCCTCGCTGGGAGTGCCGCCCTCGCTGGGAGTGCCGCCATGACTGGGAGTGTCGCCATGACTGGGAGTGCCGCCCGGCTGGGAGTTCCGCCCAGCTGGGAGTGCCGTCCCGGCTGAGAGTGCCGCCCTGTCGCCGCACAGCATCCGACTTGTGACCGCCGCACGGAGTAGGCCCTGCTCCCGGTGATTAACGCAGGGGCGACAGTAACTCCCCGCCGTTCGCCTCGATTAATACCATCGCTCTGAATCGGTCTGCTCATACCGAAAGAGGTCCTCGTCGGAAAGCCCACAACTACCACCGTATTTCCCTGCATGCAAGGTGTAGCAAATCAAGCGAGAGAAAATGTGAACATGATGTTCAAACTAATAGGCACGTGGCGATTTTCAGGCAAACTTCAAGACATGCACGTTGCTTTTTGCCTGATTCACGGTTTTCTGACCACGCGTCGCAACGGCGCGGCAGTTTTCCAATCATCCGATCTCGCTCTGGGCGGCCACCTGCGCGCGGTGGGGTTCTCACCGCAGGCGAGGTCCTGCGGCGTGGTCACCAGCACCACGCCGTCCGGCCTCGTCTCTCGCAACAGCTTGGCCAGACTCAGGTGCTCGTCACTGGTGCCTGTAACCAGGGACGGTCTGTCACCTGTCACGATGGCTCTCACCTTCCAACGTGTCCAGAGCAGGACTGTGTGAAGCAGTCTGGCAAGAAGGCAGGGTCAGTGAAGGTCAGCGATGCAAGCGTATTTGCCAACATTGCGCTGCCTGCGGCCAGCATGCAGGAGATGGGTGCGTTATACATTCAATACCTGATCGCTGTCTTCTGAGTTTCCCCATGTGTTAGGGTGCTGGTAACGTCAGTTGCGGCCGGGGCAGGCCGTGCAGTCGCCAGCCGGCGGGCATCACATGATTATAATTATAACACCTGATTCCTGCGCACGGCATTCAATGGATTCCTGCCTCAGATGTAGCTGATGTGGCATCAGGTTGTGATTGGGGACGTCAGCACGTGCCGCAGATAGCACGTCAGATACCGCGGATGTGGCGTCAGTCTGTGATTGGGGACGTCAGTACGCCCGTGAGCATAACCGTATGCACATGCGCTTCTCTCACATATCTCTGTCAGTCAGTCAGAGGTCAGTGGCAAACCCAAGTTGGTTAAATGACTAAAATAAACCCGAAAAGAGAAAAGAAAACAGGTAAAAAGGGAAAGGCGAAGCTGAAAATGGCTTTGTCAATGGCGAACACCATAAAACGGAGAAAGGAGATTCATACGTACAAAAGGCACCATGAGATACTAGTGAACACCGAACTGAAAGCAGATACAGGCCGGCCCAAAAAAACGCATTTAAACATATAGCACGAAAACACAAAGGCGCGAAAATCCTTACCAATCACGCGCATCCAAGAAGGATACCAATAAACAAAAGGTCATAGTCGAAATGATGACGATGATCAGAAGAGTCAAAATGCACAAATGCATTGGATGAAGCCAGCTAATGCACCGCTCATGGGAAGGACCAAAACAGACTGGCCCGACAGTGCCAGGACAGCCAGAGTAGGACTGAACTCAACCCCACGGACCGGGCCGGGACTGAATTCGAATGGACTTGATGAGACCCGAACGGAGCGAGCCCAGCTGGACTGAACCTGGCCGGACCGAATGAGCTGGACTGAGCCTAGCTAGATTGGACTGGACTGGACCTAACCGTACTGGATGGAACCCAGCCAGATCTCTCTGGCCGGACAGGACCTCGGGCGACGGGCTGGGCTGGGCGCAGACAGGAAAGGAGAGGACAGGATACTTCTCTAGACTACGAACAGCCAGAATCGCGCCCGACGGGACAGGACAGGTCAGATCTGATCAGACCAACGGGGGAAAACAGGAGCAAGCCGGGCGGGGGACACCGGCAAAGCGGTCAAAACACAGAAGTGCCAGACCGGACCACATCGGGACGGAATTATCCGGATCGGACCCGGATCGGGCAAGACTTGACTGGCTGAGGCGGAACCAGGTAAAACGGGGATCTAGCGTTACGGACTGCATACCGAAACAGGAAGGCGCAGACAGGACAAGAGAGGACAGCATGGAACGGGCCCGGATGCCTGAATTCAATCGTGCCCTATTTATCACTCCGTAAATAAAATCGGAACATTATAGTAGTTTCCAAAGAGGCCCATTATGAGCTTACCCGAAATGACTAACCCGCTCGCCGGATTTAATTTCGACATACGTGATGACCGCTGGATAGTTTTCCTACTGACTTATCTAGTATTGTGCTCTTTAATCCTTTCTATTCCAAGGATAGTCCATGTTTACTTTTACCCCCGGTGACCTCTTCCATTTTAAATTGTACTCCCGTGCATGCCCAATTCGGATTTTTCGTGCCGGCGTTATTTTCTCTTATCATCCTAAATCCTGCCGGCCTACATTCCTCCCGACTTCTCCGTTCCCCCTCAGCTTCCGGGCACCGCTTCGTTGCCATCATGGTGTTGGCTGCATGGCTACATCGCACTGGTCCTCTCCAACCCCTCCGAACCAGGAGCGGCCGCTGCTCCAAGGACGCACTTAGGCCGGTGTGGCCAGTAGCGCGATGGAAGGGGTCCGCTCTGAGGACGACACGGGTGCTTCCTTCATTCATTCTGCCACGCAGCCCTATGAGCTAAATGTTTGTCCTTTCAAAATGGCAAGAGCAGCAATCCCCGGCCCCCCCCCCCCCCCGTCCGGTGGGGACCGCACGCCCGGGCGTCGCCCCCAGTCTCCTCACCGGGGGGGTGTCGCCCCCCCCCCCCCCGTCCGGTGGGGACCGCACGCCCGGGCGTCGCCCCCGGCCTCCTCACCGGGAGGGGTGTCGCCCCCCCCCCCCCCGTCCGGTGGGGACCGCACGCCCGGGCGTCGCCCCCGGTCTCCTCACCGGGAGGGGTGTCGATGACCAGGTAGCTCAGCCGTCCCCAGAGCGTGTCGGCCAGCATGGAGCGGATCAGGTGCGTCTTGCGCGGCCCGCGGAGCGCCACCGACGACTCGTCGGACGGCAGCATCGAGCCCACTGAGAGCACCCGCACGCCGCCCAGGCTGGAGCTGCGCGACGGACAGCCGCCGTCAGCGCCGGTACGGCGACGACATTGGCACACGCGCCACGCCTGCCTCACTTCATTATTGAATACAGTTCAATGTCGTTGCTGCTGATTTGCGTCGATGCAAGTTGATTTTCTCGAAATGTTGGCATTCACACCGCATCTGCGGGACCTGCTAGCAGCTTTGACAAAATCAGATTGAGCTTCGCAGGTCATATAGTTACGCAAATTTTAAAGACCATACTCATTTTAATTAGGCAAAATCATCAGTCGACATCAGCATGATGACGAAACACGCTATATGCCTTGCCTGCGTCAATAATATTGCTGTATTTTCACTCGGAATGGTGAAAGCATGTTGACATCCTTCGTGATACGAGGACATAAATAACGCTAAACAAGACCAAATATCTTACCCTTGAGCGGGTTTGCTCCCTAGCATAGCATGCTTCCATTGGCCTCTCATCTTGTCTGATACACCAGTGAACATGCCTACTCAGTCTATTTTCTGATTGTTTCTTAGCGCAGTGGTAATCCCTTTAGCACGCGATACACGTTCAAACACATCAACAAGTTCATGGCTACATGAATTCGAACTTTATCAAGCAGTATAACTGTTATCACAGTGCAGAACCACAGCATGAATGATGGATGCGCGACCATTGTCCATCGCCACAGCTGTGGCAATGGCCAATGGTCGCACGGCCGCCTCTGGCCTCCAGAAAACACGCGCGGTCACGCCGCCTCCGGCCTCAAGCAAACTCACACATCTTAACCGCCATGACTCGGACAGACAAATTATTCCCTGCAGACACCTCCAGCATCAGGTCAGACTCACATGGACGGCCTACAGTCCCCCGGCAGACTCATATGGCCGGCCTCCAGCCCCGGCAGACCCACATGGGCGACCTCCAGCCCCAAGCAAACCCATCACATGGGCGTCCTCCGGCCCCGGCGGACTCACATGGACGGCCTCCGGTCCCAGGCGGACCCACATGGGCAGCCTCCGGTCCCAGGCGGACCCGCATGGACAGCCTCCGGTCGCAGGCGGACTTACATGGGACGCCTCCAGCCGCAGAAGACTCACATGGGCGGTTTCCAGCCCCAGGGCGTGCTGATGATGTCGGCGCCATCGACGGCCAGCAGGCGCGGCAGGCTGGGGCCGCAGATGTCCGTGTCGAGCGCAGCGACCGGGCCGCGCCGAGACAGCCGCACCACCAGGCTCGCCGCCAGCGTCGACTTGCCTGGGGGAACAGTCAGGCCGGTGGGGACGCGCGGCTCTCACGGGAGACGCCACCCGTGGGGAGTTGGCCTGCCAGGGGCTTCGATGTCACAGTCGCCAGCACCGGTCACATCCGGCAGGGCCTAGCTTCGGTAGCAGTCTGGAGAAAACAAGCAACTAAGTAGACAAATGTTCACAAAAGGATTGTGCGTTAACGTATTGCTTGGGGGCTCAAATCGCGAGTCAGTCTGACTCGTCAATTAGCCGCACGACACTGGTGTCGTGCGGCCAATTGACACTGTTACGTGCGACACTGGTGTTGCATCTACCGTCCGATGCGACTTAACTGGATCGCATTAAGTAAACCCATGCAAAACATAAAGACAGCGCTTTTTCGATCATAATTGTGCTGGCATATAAAAATGCATGGTGCAGGGCTATAGCATAAGCGGAACCAGCCAGCATCAGTGCCCACAGCCCGCCTTTACATGATGGTTACGTGGGGTACAGATTAGTGTCATCACGAGACTCGGCGAAACACGCTCCCGACTTCGCCGTTTAAAGACCGCGTTAAGTGTGTGGTGGTACCAGCGCGTTCAAACAGATGTTCTTGGTGTGCTGGGAAATGTTTGCTGGAAAATGTTTCATCGCAGTATACTATTCAAGCTGCACTTACCCACTCCTCCTTTGCCGGACATGACAAGAATTTTGTGTTTTATAGCCTTCATTCGAATGTTGAGGGCTGTTTGCTTGGGGTCTGGACCACCTGTGAAATTATACATGTGGTCAGCATCTGTTGTTACGTAACGAAAATCACACACACACACACACACACGTACACGCACACGCGCACACACACACACACACGCACACGCACACGCACACGCACACGCACACGCACACGCACACGCACACGCGCACGCGCACGCACACGCATATATATATATATATATATATATATATATATATATATATATATATATATATATATATATATATACATACCATGTTGATCCATGGCATCAACAAGCAATAAGAAAATGACGCGGGAAAACATTCAGTTATTACCTTGTGCCTGACAGAGAGCTTGACCAGGGCAGCCTTGGCATCCCAATGCTCGACCTGCCTCCTCCTGAAGACAAAAAATCCTGTTTCACTTCTGTGGAATGCTGCACCACGCTACGCGTTCAGCACCTTCTTCAAGCAGACGTCAGTGAAAATAGTATCTTAATGATGACAACAACATGGAATTCCACCACAGAATGAGCTGAATGATCCAGGGTCAAGACCATGAAACTCATTTAAGTGCACATGTGACATCCCTCATGCTTGATCTGACCCTGGCAGCATGCCAAATGTGTTTAAGTGCCCGCATGACATCGCAGTACATTGGCGCCCAACTTGCCAACTTGCGAATGCCTGCGCGTACTGTTTGGGTTGGTGTGGAGGCTGGGTGAGAGGAGCGACGAGGTCGGCACTCATTGGCAGGCGTGGCTTTAGTATTCATGGCATTTCATGGGTTTCATGTGATTTGGCTGGGATCCTGATGGTGTGATGCTTAGTGCACAGGGGGTGGGGAGCTGTATTGTTCTGTGCCCTAGTATGGGATGTAAAATATCCACACCTTGAACTGGACTGCCAGTGAATGGTGGCTTGCTGGGCCATGCCAGCCAGCACTGCATGGGAGTTAACTTCCTGACAATAGGAGTTTTCTTCCCGACACAACAGCAGTGAGAGCTATCACTGTCATAAGTGTATATCAGACAAGCTGACCAGGATGAAATGACACAGTTGGGAACATGCACAGCCTCCATGTGAGAGACCTGGGTTGGATTCCCTGCATACCCTACAGCCTCTGCAGGCACTGATATGACAGAGGTCAGTGAGAACTCTAGAGGCCAATACTGCAACCTCACAGACCAAGCCCCAAAACTCCTCAGCCACCCCCATTATCTGAGCAGGCACAGGAGACTATCACCCTATAAACAAGGCCACCAGTGTTAACAATGATAAACAAATAGTAATAGGTATTAGTTATGAGGATGGGCAAACAAAGGCACAAGATTCACATAAGTTGCATTCCAAGCTGGTGCACTGATGGAATAAAATGACTCAAAAGAATATTCACTGCACAGGATAGCACCTCTATTCAAGTGAGGCAAAAGAAGTTGGTGTGCCTTGTGAAGGATTGAACAGACAATATTTTGGATCACTTATCTGAAAAATCAGCTGCAAGTGTGAGCAATTTCAAGACAGAGAATAACACTGTGGGGAGCAACATGGTGCACCTGGTGGAAAACACTTGGGGAAACCAGCCCAATCACCAATCATTCTATCAACAAGAACAATCATAAATATGATACAAGCTGTTCAGGACTATCCAACATTGGTTAGAGAGTCAGTCTATTGGATAGCCCAATTTTAAAATAGAAGTGCACCTCACTTATTGATGTTTCAGCCTTTTCAGAAAACATGGTCTTGACTATATGGTTTTTGTTGCTACTTGGTGACTCAAATGCACAATGAAATTAATGACTCCACACCTCACTAAACTTAATGACTCACAAAACAAATGCAACCTTGTTGAACAGCCATACATCATATACTGTATGAGCACCTGAACCTTATGGCATAATGTTAATCAGCTTGAGGGTGATCACATGCCATGCCACTTGGGGCATTGTGTCAGTGATGGTGGCCAACAACAGGAGTTCATTTATTGCCAAGTTAATAGTTTAGTACCATAACCCCTTAAGTTTTTTCATCATTGCTGGTATTGAGTGCTGTAAGGCAGTGGTGGAATTAATATCTGTTGCAAGCTTATAAACTAGCCTAGAACCACTTTGGGAGACATTCTTGTTGATTTGCTGCGGACAGGAATCATGAACAGTTGGGTTCACATCAGAACTTCCCTAGCCTTAACTAGATACATGAAACATTCAATAACTGAAAGCTACTTAAAGCTCGATAGATGACCATATAGTGAATGAATTTGTGCACTGGAACAAAATTTGAGAAAAACAAATTGCTGCCACGTGACGCGGGGAATGAATGCCTTCACATCTCACCAAAGCATTTGGGCATCTTGTGATATCTTCATCCATCCCTGTCAACTAAAATTATCTTTTCACTTGTAGAGAAGTTTACACCTTCAAAACCATAAGCCATAGATGAGAGGAACGTCCTGTTCAAGACATTGCCGTCCTCCAAAATTCCACACTCCACATTCCATTCCTTTTACAACTTCCACAAGTGTCCCTACAGCGCCGTATACGCTTTAATAATCGGAGGAAGTTCCCAGGTGTATTCGCTAATGGCGATCGAAAGCTTGCAAAACTGTGAAATGTGTGTCTTTTGACGAATGAAAACAACAACAATGACGTCATTACACTGCAGTTGGCCCTCAGAGCAAGTCAGTGTTCGAGGTAGCGAGCATAGTGTCGTGAACTGATCATAGCTACGAGACTTGCGCACCTGTTTCCAATGCGGGTGCTTGGCACGCAGCACACAGTGCAGTGTATCGGAGGATGGCCCCGTCTGAAATTCAAGGATTGGTGGGCGGCAATTTTGTTCGCATTGCACGATGGGCTGGTGTTTTTTGTTGATCTGTGGCATCAAAATGGTGAATGACGTTGGCTTACAAGGCCATTTATAAAAATATTGCTTTCTGGGCTCTTGAGAAAGCATAAGAACACAATATTTTAACCACTCGTCCCCTTCCATCGCGATTTGCCTGACCATTACGGTTGCATTGCCACAAAATGAATTGCATGACCATCAATTGAAATTCCTCTTTTCAGGCTGCATGTGAGGGGTAAACAAGACCATGCCACAAGTAGATAAAGATGGCTTTATTCTTGTCAGGCACAAGAATTCTCGTGGTCCGCCAGCATCCCTTATAACCAAGGGTGTGGCGCCACCAACTGACCTGAAGCCGGATGTCATTAATGTCCCAGCTGTCATCAAGTATGTCATACATGGTCTGAGGCATGCTTATGCTCATGCATGGGAACATATGCTTGAACTGTTTCAGCAGTAGATGAAAAATGAAGCTATGTCATATATCATGATTAGCTTGTTTTGAAATGTTCATTAAACAGGTCAACAACTTATACCACTGTGGGTGTTTGGTATATCTTATTCTATACCATACTTTAATAGTTAGCATGATGAATCAATGGAGACAAGCTATCAAGACAACTGATTTGATAACAGCCAGCATGAACTTGCATGACCTTGCTCACTTTTGTTTGGTATATGATAACCATAACATACTGTATAATTGTGTGTGTGTGTGTGTGTGTGTGTGCACATGTGCATGTGCATAGACATAACTAGTCTTGAATGATACTTAAGGTCATTTCAGGTTTAGTACCATTTTATGCACTCATCAATTTCATAATAACAGCTTGCACTCCACCTATTGATTAACCCTCCACCTGATTGGGGGCTTGAAGCACCCTCATAAGGTGTGTTGAGGATGCCTCTGGCATGTTGTGCAATCATGTCTAAATTTTCAGTGACTATGGGGCATCCACTGTGTGTGTGTCTTGATGTCAAAATGTGCTTGTGGCTTTTCTAATTTGGAGCAGCCGCGATTCTTTGAGGAACACTGCATGATAATTTATGGCCTTGGTGGGCGGGCGGACCATGTCGCGCGCGAGGTTGGCCGACATCACTGCATGAACGAAATGAGATCTGGGGTGTAGTTACTGTTCAGGTGGACGGACATAAGCCCCCCCCCCCAACTTGGGTGTCAGTGCTCACCCCAGCTGTGGGAAGACAGTGTCAGAATCCGGTGAGAAGCCTGCTTGTTGGCATATTTCGGCCGCAGGTTAGGTCATTTTTCACTGTTGAGCCCCGCGACTCGTTTTCGGAATCACGTCGCCGAGCCATAATTGATACATGTATGTATATGTATTGATACATATACATATACTGGAAAGTGCGATCGTTTGGAAAATTTGAACTGTGACCTGGCATAATTGGGTCAATTATTGGCCTGAAACCTCAAAACTAGCACAAATCGCAAGATTTCCTTGAGATTAATCTGCTGGTGTTTTCTACCAAACTCTATCTTTATTACTTTGGAAACGCAAGCGGAGGGCATCTACATTTCACCAGCGGCACCTTTCCCCAGGAAAATTGAGCGTCTGCGCGTGAGGCTCACCTCGTCCCGCTACCTGCCACGCTTCCTGGCCGCCGTCGACGACTGCCTGTCCGAGCAGCGCGCCGGCCAGAGCGCCGTCGCCGCGCCCAACATCGTCTGCTACGGCTTGGGACACGTGGCCAGCGCGCCGGCGCCCCAGTACCAGCTGGCGCTGCTACTGGAGCTGCGCGCGCACCTGAGCGCACCGCGGGTCGAGGCGTACGACCCGGTCTTCTGGCCGGAGGAGGCGGCGCTGCTGAGCCGACTGGGATTGCACGTGCTGGAACAGGACGAACAGTGCGGCCGCCGGCTGACGGAGCCCACTGTCCTCTACATGCCCCACTGTGAGAACGTCCACTACAACAACCTGCTGCGCGCCAACTGGCATCCGGACGTGCTGCCGCGCTGCCTGCTGATCGGCAACAGCCTGGCCTCGATCGCGCTCAAGCTGCCGCCCAGCCTGCTGCGCGAGTTCGCGTTCGTGGAGCGCGGCGCGGCGCACGCGGCCGAGCGCGGGGTCGGTGAGCGCATCGACGAGCCTGAGCTGCTGGCGCCCTTCAACGACACGGCTGTGCACTGGTTCAGCGCGGCGCGGCTGCGCGCGCTGCCGGCCTACTTCTGGGACGAGGCGCCGACGCAGTACGAGCCGCCAGAGCCGCAAACCGACTCCTCCGACGATGGCGGTCGCGCCAAGCCGCGCCGCCGCCGCCGCAAGAAGTCGCGCAACCACAACTGAGCCGCGTAGGTCTGGCGGCCGACGCCGTGCGGCGGTGGTGGCTGCCGTGTTGGCAGCGCTGGCGGCCGGCGTGGCGGCGGTGCGCTACGGCGGCGCCCCTGGCGGCGATACGGTACTTTGCGACCGCGGTCAGTTCCGCCTGGCAGGCATGGCGGCGTGCCGGCCGCTGCTCGGGTGCGCCGACCTGGCTGAGCTGAGTCTCGGCCCGCTGATCGGTCAGGGCAGCACCAAGAGCGTGTACCGCGCGCTGTGGCGCAGCCGGGAGGTGGCGCTCTCGACGCTGGCTGATCCCCGGCTGCGGCCGGACTTCCTGCATGGTCTGGAGATGCTACAGGCTTTGGGGCCGTCCGACCGCGTGGTCCAGCTGGTCGGCTTCTGTCGCACCACGGACGTGATTATCACCGAGCTCCAGCCGCTTGGGGATGCGAGCCGCGTGGCGCGCGAGGTGCGCGCCGCGGCGGGAGCGGCTGGCCCGGCGGCCGCCGCCCTGCTGGCGCTGCGTTACTGCCTCAGCTACGCAGAGGTGCTGGACTACCTGCACAGCTCGCCGGTCGGCCACCGCGTCATGTGCGACACGAACGATCTGCAGAAGACCCTGCAGCAGTTCCTGGTGACGTCAGACCAGCGGCTGGTGGTCAGTGACCTGGACGCACTCCCGGACGCCGCGGCCGGGCCCGTGCTCTGCGGGCGGCGGCCGCTGCAAGGAGAGTTTCTCGCGCCGGAACAGAGATGGCAGGCTGGCGTTAGTCCGCAGGGCTATGACGAAAAGACTGATGTGTGGAAGCTGCCGGCTGTGTGCGGTCATTTTTTAAGGGCGTCTCCTCACGGCGAGTTTGTGGCGCTGCAGCTCCATCGGATGCACAAGAAATGTCGCAGCCCCGAGCCGTCGGCGAGGCCGTCGGCCAAGCAGGTAATCTCGGAGTATGCTCGTGTTATTCGCGACCTGGAGCAGTCTGAGCCCAACTGAACGCGACATTTGGCTCTTCACGAGCCCCGCGGTTGGATTTTCTACGTCATTTTCTCCCTGTGATACTGGGACGATAATTTGGGAATGCACAAGATGATCGCACTGTGTTTTGTGTACCTGACGTGGCTTAAATACATTGCATGCACCTGTCGAGTTTTGGTTATTGATGCTGTGGGTCATAATTATTTTGCCTCTGATCTCTGCCACACCCTTACACCCGCGCTGTCTACAGTACATGCCTGAAGTGAATACCTTGCTACCTATGTGGACCGTAAGCGCTTGTACTTTGTTTGCGACGTACAGCGTCTTGATGACACGTTCGTGACCGTGCTACTGGAACACGTATGCCCCTAACATGACAGACTATTAACACGGCAGCGGCTGACGGACGACACCGGCTTCCTTCGTCCATGATATGACTAAAGAGCCTCCAAATTTGGTGAAGTACACTTATCGACGAATTTCACACAGCACACATGTAGTTGAATTGTTGCACAACGCGAGAGTTACTGTTTGATGTAATGTTGTTACTGTGCAGTGACTGTTCGTGTGATTTTAGGCCCGTTTCTTTGTGGTAGCCTTACCATTGCTTGTTCATGTTTTGCGCTTGAAACAGATTGGCCGTGAACCAGGGTTTTAGTCGCCTCCTCTTCTGGGATGATTCGTCTTTCACGCATTCTATCGATTTGCAAAGCCGCTCACATTTTGTCTTGATAAACTAGAAACTTATCGATCGTGCTAAGTTTCTAGCCTAGAAGGAAGTAAGCTAATTATAGAGTTCATTATAGTCAAATCCGTTCACATTTTCTCTTGCATTCCTCCAACGATGGGGTATGAATTTGAAACGTGATCATAGACGCTCTGTGACGAAATATCCAACAATGTTGGATATGAACTATGGCGGGAAAACAACGGTACGAGGTCTAGAACGATGCGTAAAACATATGAAAGGAAATGGTTTGCCAATATCATAATACACACACACGCACGCACGCACGCACGCACGTACGCATATAAGTGTATATATATATATATATGTCCGCCCCGGACCTGAATTGACCCCCGTTGGCAAGTTGTCAGCTGACCTTTCTATTCCAATCAGGCCAAACAATGCACCTGCTCTGGAACTCGTACCCAGTGCCGCTGGACTACGAGCACTGCATCTTGCCCCTAGGCTACGGGGGCGTTGAAAAAGGTCTAGTTTGATTTAAAACGCTCGCTGATTCCGCATTGGCGAGCTGTTTGATGCATCCTTGGAGGCTCCGGGCTTTTGATTTAGCAGCACTAAAGATGAAAGACAAAAAGATGAAGATGAAAGATGTTCGTGCAAAGTCGCCCAAATCGAATCAGCCATATATTCATCGATTTGTATATTCTACCGTTTCGACACCTTTGTCATCGTCCGAAAAATGCAAATGGCACAAGCAAGAAGCTTTGAATTTTTAAGGATGAGAAGTGTGCATGATTACCATAAAACATCGTAGAGTACAGATTTAGTAGATATTTAGGACTGATTCGGTGGCGGGCGGTAGGTATTGTAAATATGATTATGACGATGTGTCTGTATTGTTTTCATTTAGGTCGCATTTTATACGCATACAAATAACGATAGGAACATTGGTCTTCTGGTCTTTAGTACTAAACGATATTTTATGACAGCGATGTGCACTTCTCATTAAAAATATCAAATTAAAAGGTACTGATCGACAAACATTTGGGTCATTTTGCACGAGCGATCTTTTGTCTTAACGATACTAGTAAGTCGAAAGCCTGTAACCTGGAACGATGCGTAAAAAGCTTGACAGGGCGGAACCAATGATCGTTTTTAATCAAACACGCGCGCGCGCGCGCACGCACGCACACACGCACGCACGCACGCACGCACGCACGCACGCACGCATGCACGCACGCACTCACACACACGCGCACACATACACACACGTATATATATATATATATATATAATATATATATATATATAATATCTCTCTCTCTCTCTCTCCCTCCATCTCTCTCTCTCTCTCCTCCTCTCTCTCTATCTCTCTCCTCCCTCTCTCGGTCTCTCTCTCTCTCCTCTCTCGTCTCCTCTCTCTCTCGCTCTCTCCTCCTCTCTCTCCTCCTCTCTCTTCTTCTCTCTCTCCTCCTCTCATCTCTCTCTCTCTCTCTATTTTTAGATGTCAAGATGCACTGAGGAGTGGAAAAGTGAGAGGACAATGACATGTCGTATAACGGATACGTTTCAAGAGCTAGTTCTCTGAAAACAGGGATTCCCACAGCCATGCTTTGCAAGATTTTCATAGCCCTCTCTGTCTCAGGAGACCGGAAAGATTGCAATACATGTCGCTCAGTTCAGTCCCTTTCAAAGAGGTGAAAGAAAAAGCTTCCGCGTATGGAGATCGACTTGATGAACACTGGAAGTCTTGTGTCGAAACACGGTGTATCCAAATCGGGTACGACAGAAGAATGCACGCCAGCCAGTATTCTCCGCATCTGATAACGCCCTGTTGCAATGTGTTGGGCTCGTCCAAAACATGTTGAATTAATGGGCGGACACAAGAGCGCCGGTCTGCGTCAATGGTCGAGGGTGGGGCGCATAGTCTGGCGAAATAAGGTATGGGATAAGGGAGGAAAATGACCACCTAGCACCAAAATTGACCAAAAGTGTACCTCCCTTGGTCGACCCGCGTTCTTTTCAGGGTCGAGGGGCTGGAGTCTCAACGCCAAAGGGAACCACACCCCTGACTCTGGTGTACTCGAGGGCCGGGCAGCCTGAACTGTCCTAAAAGGTAAGGTTTCGAATGGCTGTAGCCCATTTTATTTAAGCGAATGCAGTATTATTGTCTTGATTCGTGTTTATTAAACAGAATCAGTTATTGGGACGGCATAAGTCAGTCATAACAAAACGCCCCGGAAAGGAAGACTGTAGGTCATATTTAAGCTTTTCCTCGATTTTATAGTGCTCCAGAAAAATGTATTGGGGGGCCCGAACCAACATTTGGGAACCAAGTGCATGCGGAGCGAGGATTCTCACTGTATAATGCAAACCGACACCCCTGGACAGACGTGGTAGCATCAACAGAATAGCCGAATAAAGCTCACCGCCATGTTCGCCTTGCATCTTTACGACAGGCATTGTCCTCCCTTATACCTCTGTGCGACATTGGAACATTATAATTGTATGTGCGCAAGATGCCGACAGTCAGATAAGAATGCTATCATCGTCGAATAACTGGATTTCTATCACTATTTCTGCTGTACGAGCTTCCGGCCGTTCGCGCAACTCAGACATCACCTGAATGTGATCTTACCTGATGCGGTAGATTCACTAAAGTCAGAAATCGATGGATTTTGGTCGGGGAAACCGTGCATGCATGCATATATACATTCACCATGATTTTTCGTGACACTTCTCTTAAGTCGTCCCGGGATTCGCCTCGGGGTTACACAGGAAGCTGTAATATTGCGACTCTTTCAACTGATTTACGAAACGGCGTCTTACAGACAGAGCAGAACACCGACAAAGACGGCAGAACGCTAGCTCAACCGGTGTGGTAGGCAGTCGCAAAAAATACATCATGGAGGACATTCGCATGAAAATGTGAGAAGATCCTCACACAGAAGATCCTCACCTACTCACATCATGTTCATCAGGTCGTGTTGGCTCTTCAGAGTGATTGCCACGTGCACTTCATGGGTTGGTGACATGCCAGTATTTAACCTTTCCGCTCGCATAGCTGTCGTGGGCAGGCGCACTGTCCTGTGGCAGGCACCGGGTGCAGATCGTGACGTCACGGACCACGTGCTGAGCGGCACGGCCGCGTCATCGGCAGCATGGGCGCTGGCCCGTGGAAGTCTGTCTGCTACCTGTTTTACGGTTGCGTCAGTTACATGCGATTTAACATGAGAAGTTCTCACGATGCAAAATGTCACCTGCTCTTCTGTTCTTTACCCTGATCATGACTGCATCTGCTGAGCGTCCTGAGCGTCCGAGCGATACACGTCCTATGCTTCGCCAAAGTAACCGTAATATGAAAGTGTTGTCAAAGCACCCTCAACTTGAAACCATACCACAAAATACGCCACAGTGGTTCCACAAGTAAAACTCAGACCGTCACACTTTGTATATGTATTATGGCACCGATTACGAAACACAAGCATGCAGTAACACAACGGACGCTGAATGGGGATGTCATAACAAATATTTATAAACTGACTCGATGAGCGTTGCCGGGGCTGGACCGTCTATGCCTGGCCGTCCTGTCCCTGGCCAGCGGCCCTGCACGCTCGCCGGTCATCGGTTGACGAAAACAGCACCAGTCCCTCGGAGGGACACGGACTCTGCCCATTGCATACGGCCATCACTAAACGCCGGCCGCCCACTCGCAGCTTGGTAACTCCGGCGGCGCCATCTCGCCCACCATGCCCACACTCCCGACCCCGGTCTCGGCTTGGCTTTTCTGGCGGCGGCCAGCGCGCGCGGCCGAAAATCGCCACCTGGGCCGAGATCCCAACTAACGGCGAGACCCGCGGCGGTGACTGACCAGCCAAGCCTGACGCCGGCCGAGTGAGGAGAGAACACGTGTCACCGGACGGTACAGCGGGGCCGAGGTGTTGACAGGCGCGCGGCACCAGGCTCGCGCGCTGCTGGCCGACGCCGGACCGCGGCACGGTGGGAGGCCGGTTCTGAGCTTCCATAAGCGGGACTATTTCGTCACAGCCTTTCCCTACCCGGCGCAAACTCAACCTGCCGCTCTACAGACGCGCGCCGCTGCTGCCCGCCGATAGCCACCGCAACCCGCAGCACCCCCGTGACAAGAACACAACAAAACGTCACGTGCTGTCGCCCCACGCCGCGTGCCGGGCAGCGGCAGTTCGGCAGCCGGCCCGGGGTCTTGGCGCCAGCCGGAAGCCGTCCGGCACCGCGGCAGAGAGGTGCCACTCCATGCCCGCCCGGTGGACCGCACAGCGCGGCCCCAGCCACACAGCGTCCGCGTCGCCGTCGCGAACGCGCCACATTCGTTGTCGGCGACGGGCGGCGCTGCCCGGCGGCCGTGCGCTGGCCGCTCCGGTCGCCACACGGTCGCGCTCAGAAGGGCGCGGCGGCGCGGCCCGGGGTCTGCGCGCGCGGGCGGCCGGCGGCGCCACTCAGCGCCGGCCGGGGTCAGCGCGTCTCCATGGTAACCGAGTCGGGACTGCCGTAGCCGGAGGAGGCGTCGTCGCCGGCGGGCCGCGCGGTCAGGGGACTGTGCAGGGCCGCGGACAGCGGACGATTGGCGGCACGCCGCCGCTGCTGCTGCTGCTGCTGTTGCTGCTGTTGCTGCTGCTGCTGCTGGGGCTGCCCCGGCTGGCCGTCTGGCTGCGGGCGCAGAAGGGAGTTAACACAGAGCTGGGAACAGCGCGAGTGGCACCACAGGGGTGGGAACAGCGTGGGAGGTACCATAGGGCTGGGAGCAGCGCGAGAGGTGCCACAGGGCTGGGAGCAGCGCGAGAGGTACCACAGGGCTGGGAACAGCGCGGGAGGTACCATAGGGCTGGGAGCAGCGCGAGAGGCACCACAGGGCTGGGAACAGCGCGGGAGGTACCACAGTGCTGGGAGCAGCGCGGGAGGCACCACATGGCTGGGAGCAGCGCGGAGGCACCACAGGGCTGGGAGCAGCGCGGGAGGCACCACAGGGCTGGAAACAGCGTGGGAGGCACCACAGGGCTGGGAGCAGAGCGGGAGGCACCACAGAGCTGGGAGGGGAGCGGGAGGCACCACAGAGCTGGGAGCAGAGTGGGAGGCACCACAGAGCTGGGAGCAGAGTGGGAGGCACCAGAGCTGGGAGCAGCGCGGAGGCACCACAGAGCTGGGAGCAGAGCGAGAAAACACCAAACAAAGAGACGCACAAGAGTCAGCCGCCAGAGGCCAGAGGCATAGCCACCACAGGTCAGGACAAAGACGAGAACGGCCACGGCGCAAGCCGCTTACGACGAGTCACGCGGCTAACGGCAGTGTAGTTTGATGACGCGGGATGACGTGGACTGCAGTCACAGCCAACCAGGACCGATTGCAACGATTGCCCATGCACGCTGGGGAGAACACATCTAGTTCGTTTCTCCGATATGACAGATTGTATGTATCAGCAGCTAAACACGATCTCATGCCCACGAACGTGCGTACAACCTCTTAAACTTTACCACACATAGTGTGCTTAACTGCGTCCAGTTCTTTTCAAACATTTTGGCATGCAATAGTCGACATGCTCCATTGGCAACGCGACGTGTCGGTAACCCAGTCAAGTGAACCACTAAGACGGGTCGAACACATGTTCCTAGCCTTCGCTGGTAAGGAAGGCTAGGAAGGAACATGATAGGCTTGTGACCTATCCACAGGTACCGCCGCCGTCTGCACATCCCCAATTCTGCGTGACGTGGTGTGTGTATGTGGGGACCAATCACCGCGATGTGATCCCATGACCTCAGGGTGAGGGAAGCCGAAGCAAGGTGGTAGCATACATGACGCTCTTGCGAAGCACTCAACGCGCCAGCCTCGGTTCACGTTTGCAATAAAAACATGCCATGCCTTTGAGAATGGAGAGAAACACAGCTTACGGTGATCATACAATGTGCATTATGCACGGGCCTTCATACTAAGTTCTGGGACAAAACGAGCACTGCCAACCCGTGCTGTGCACTCGATGCGGCTTTTGCACGCCTACGCGCAGCTGCGCGCGTCACGCACGTCTACCGAGCACGTTTGTTGAGTACACAACGTGTACTTTGCGTACCACACGTGCACATATCAAGCAACGCTGCATGACCACCGTTGAACATGCCGGCAGACGCGCTGAAGAGCATGGAAACAGCCAGGAAGTGGGTGGATCGCCGTACTAGCGTGTAGGACTGCGTGTGTGAGTGCGTGTGAGTAGTACCTGCAGATTGTTAACTTGCCGTTTGATGTGGTCCAAGCTCCCGGGCGTATAGGGAAGGGAGGCGAACACGCGTCGCTCCTCGTAGTCGTACTCGCACAGGATCTTGCCTTCGCACAGGTAGAACCGGTCGCCCACGCAAAACCTGCCGAGCCAGACGACGCGTCCCGGTGTTACAAGCCTGGCACAGATGACGCCAGCGACCCATACGGGCGCTATAGATGGCAGCACTAGACGCAGTGGCGCCGTCGGTCGCCGCTGGCCCAGCGCGGCTGCTGACCGCTGCCGGACCGGCCGCCTCGGACAGGGGAGCACGCTGTCACGGACCGGTGTCTGCCACCCGATCTCGCAGTCAGCAGTAATGCGGCGCCGACAGTGTCCACGTGCCTGCATTAACCGCCGAGACCACCACAGAAGCAGCAGCTCGACCGCCGCCAGACGACACGCCCGCCGGCGGCTCGACCGTCGCCGGGCAGCACGCTCGCCGACGGCTCGACCGTCGCCGGGCAGCACGCTCGCCGACGGCTCGACCCCCACCGGCCAACACGCTCGCCGACGGCTCGATCGTCGCCGGGCAGCACGCTCGCCGACGGCTCGACCGTCGTCGGGCAACACGCTCGCCGTGGCTCGACCGTCGCCGGCCAACACGCTCGCGGACGGCTCGACCGTCGCCGGGCAGTACGCTCGCCGTAGCTCGACCGTCGCCGGGCAGCACGCTCGCCAACGGTTCGACCCCCGCCGGCCAACACGCTCGCCGACGGCTCGACCGTCGCCGGGCAGCATGCTCGCCGACAGCTCCGCCCGGCCACCGGCGCAAACCAGCCATGGGCGGCTTAGCGCGTCGTCGAGATTTGGTGCGATGTGGGGAACACGGAGCCGCACTTTCACATCTTGATCACGTACCAGCGCCGCCGGATTAGCCTGTGCGGCGTCCGCTTTTTGATAACCGGTGTCCGCAGTCTTTTTTCTCAAGCGGAAACCACAGCCTTGTCACAATCGCTGCGCGCGCGTGGAATCGAGACAAAGACTTGTCGCAGCGGCTCGCCGGCCCCGCCAGCGTAACACACAACACGGCGCGGCCGCCAAGTCTCACCGGTGGTTGCACTGCTGACAGGCGAAGCACTCGAGGTGGTAGACGTGGTCTCTGGCGCGCATCACCATCTCGAAGGCGGGGATCAGCTTGCTGCAGGCGGCGCAGTGGCCGGTGGAGCCGAACAGCCTGCAGAGCGAGGCCGCACGGTCAGCGGGATCGCACGGTCAGCGGGGCCACACGGTCAGCGGAGGGGGGGGGGGGCATGCCCGGAGACGGCCGACGCGGCGCCAAAGGGCCGGCCGTGACGGTCACAAACGAACGAATCGAGCTCGATGGCGCCTTAAGTCCGCGTCCATGCCATGTGCAGCAAAACTCGACACTGTTTGGTGATCGGTACTCATGTTATGTGTACACAAAATGCTTCTCAAATGTTGATGAGCCATAGGCGTTCTATAGAACGGTATATTGACTATGAGCCACGGTGGAAATCCGCCCCAAGGGATTGTAGCGAAACGGCACGTTGGCTTTCCAATGCTGGCCGTCATTGTACCAGGAGGGCGCTGCCGCAGCGGCGCGCGGCGCGCGGCGGGCTCAGTTACCTCCCCTGCCAGCCTGACACCTGTGACAGTCATCAAACACCAGCGCGCCAGGGGTCGGCCGGCCGGCGGCTCGGCTGCGGCGGGGGCGCCGTCGGCTGGCGGGCCGACGGACGGCCTCATCAGCCGCCACCCCGGCCGCGACGGCCCAGTAGCGCGCAGACAGATCAACTGTCGCACGCAGCAGCCGCTGTGTCGAGCGGCGCTGTTTCAATGGACGCTCGTCGGCCAGTGTCAGCGGGCCTCGCCGCTTCATCAGGATCAGCGGATTTATAGCCGCGCAATGCCAGCTCTCGTCTGGAACCGTTGGCTCGGCTAAAAGCGGCGTGACCGAGGCTTTGGGTTTTCCATGCTCGCGTAATCGTAAGCCGTTCCTGGCCCGGTCGTGTGACGCCACTCGCCGGGCGCGATGCCCTGCCTCATCACTGCACACACGTACTACACCGTGTGTCTCACGGCTGGCCTGACGTCCGTGACTGTGTCATCGCGTGCACTGTGTGCCGTGACTATCCCGACACCCATCACTAGACGGTGCAAACTAACGCTCGGGTGAGCGCACACTCACAGTTCTGACAATGCCAAGAAGAGTCATGAGTAGAATGAGCAATTACCAGCTCACAAGCGGCGCGATTAATCACCTCAGTAATTGTCACGCTAAAGTTGGATTTCTCGTAACAAAGCTACGTACTCAAGCCATTTTCCAATTCCTCCGGTAATTGCCTCCCATCCGACGATGATAGGTCCTTGATACTAATGTGGGTTTTGATTGATGAGATAATTATATGGAATGATTTAAAATGGGATAATAGTGTCCCAAAGATAGGCTGGCCGCGCAAAGTTGGGAGCGGCCGCGTCATCGAAGTCATTAGGCCGGCGGCACGGTGGCTCGGAGCGCGCGTCATCAGGGGCCAGCTGGCCCCGTCGCGCCAGCCCGCCGTGTTGCCGGTGGTGGGCTCGGCCGGCCCCTTTTGCGAAAGCGACTGAAGCACACCTCCTCGGCCCCGCGTCCGACTGGTCTAGCGTGACGCTGTGAACTTGGACCGCAGCTCGACCCCATTCCGGACCACCCAGGACCGCCCTGAACCGCCCGGGCCATGTGGGACCGCTTGCGGCTACTGGGCACGCGAGGTGTCCGGGCCCTGCGACCCTCTTTTGTGGTGGGGTATCGGGCCCTACGACGCTCTTGTCTGGTGGGGTGTCAGGCCCTGCGACGCTCTCGTCTGGTGGGGTGTCAGGCCCTGCGACGCTCTTGTCTGGTGGGGTGTCGGACCCTGCGACGCTCTCGTCTGATGGCGCGGCGGCAGGACTCAGGTGAGCCTGACCGGGCGTTACACACAGCTCGGACGACGCGCGCCCCCGCCGGCCGGCGACGGGTCGGGACCGCCGAAGGCGTCGGCACCGCCGCGTGTGGCGGCGGCGACGGCCCGAGGACCGCCCGGTTTCAGCGAACACTGCGATCAGGGAGCCATCGGCGGTGCGGGACGGCCCGGTACGCCACGTCCCGGTGACGACTTTCCGCCACCCGCAGACCGCGGCGCCGCAGCTTGCTAAAAACCAGCCACATTAACGAGCTGCCGACCCCGACCAGCCTCATATACGGAACGTTGTCGCCCCCCCCCCCCCCCCCCCCCCGACATTCACAGTCCACCGTCAGCTGCACGCGGCGATGTTGACAGTGACGTCACGTCAGTGGCGTCACCACGCCACACCCAGCGGCGCGCTGGTCTCCACCACCACAACCGGCGGCGGGCGGCGGGCCTCTGGCGGCAGCGGCGGTCGGCGCCGGCCGGAGCCGTTACGCGGCGGGCGGCGGTGGTCGGCGTGCTGCGCCGTGCCCCGTGTCAGCCGGTCGGCCGCCGCGCCGCCAGTCATGGCGCCTAATGCAACGCGCCGGATTCGCCTGCCAATTAGGCCGGCTCGGCGGTCGCCGAACGCGCCCCCAGAGTGCACCGCCGCCGAGCCGTATCATATAGAAACGCAATTAGCGACGCGCCGAGTCATGGATTTAATCACACTAACAAGCCCGGGCTAATTAGACAAACAAGAACGGATAATTACTGAATTCCGCTAATTACGCTAATGAGCTTGCAGAGGACGGCGGCGACCGATCTGTTTGCGCCATTGCTGTAACCGGACAGCTTAGGCCCGTGCAAAGGGGCGGGCAGTGGTGCTGAAGAAGCCTTGTGGACGGAAGGCCTCAGATGCTGCCCGCCCCTCGTCTTGGTGCGCGCCTGTGCCGACGCCACATGGTGCAGCGGCACGGCAGGCATCACGCGCCAACGCATGGGGGCCAGGAGCATCGGTAGCGGTGAGGGACACGCAATTTTGCCCACCCCTCCCCCTCATTCCTGCCCTTCAAACTTCCGTCTCGGCGCCATCATGAAGAGCGACCCTTCTTCTTTCCTCTCTCCATGCTGCGCCCACGTGCAGCCTGAACAGAGCGAAGGCGATACAAACGGCACGCCGGAATGTTTGCCTGGGGAGGGAGCTGCAGCGCAGGGAAGAGGTCCAAGGCTGAAGCGACAGCCCCGACAACACAGCATGCCGCGTCAGCGCGGCCTGAGGACTCACAACGGATTGTGTTGACCGACGGTCTGCCGAGCAGATGGCAGGAGAGTATGAACCACACGTGACCTGGCCGAACGACATTCCAGCACCGTTACCGCCCATCGCCGAGATCCGCTGGCGGCGGGGGGGGGGGGGCCGCACCCACCAGACAGCCGCGGACCACGGCCCGGACCGCCACGCCACAGGGGCGACCGACGTGCCTGCGCCGGGAGGCCGACTACACAATCAAAATTAATGAGGCATGGGGAATCACTTCTGCCGGCTCTGGCTATGGTCTAATGGCAGTCCGATAATATCTACACCGAGTCCGCCACTAATTAACTTCTTAATTAAGTGATGCCATTTTTATACACATTTGCTTAATCACCAGCGTTAATATCCGCGAGACGGCGCCGAGTGTGGACGGACGGGGCCTCAGCAAATGGTGCACACAGCAGCAGCTGTCCAGGCCGTCATCCAGGCGCCATCTCACCGACTGCCAGATCCTGATATATTGGTTGTAAAGGCATCCGACAACGACGTTATTACGACACTCGGGTCAGACACCCGAAATTTCCATTTTTCAGTAGATCGGAAGGAGTCTTTCCTGGTAGAACCGACTTGGCAAACATGATTCCCCCTCAGTCAAAGACGAATCAACGTCTAATTGCCGGTAAGAGTGTCAGCATCCACACACAAACAGACCAGCGCAAGCAGCGGGCGCCAAATCCCTTCTCTCAATTAGCGCCCCGCGCCACATTCCCGCGCTTTCTCTGTTCCCCGCCACGCACACGCACGCCCGCTCGACGCCGCCGCTGTTGTGTTCCATTTCGGCCCGCCGTCGGCGCGTCGCGGTGCCCGGCTCCCTGCCGAGATCTCACACCCAGTTTTGGCCCACTAATGAGCCGATTGTCCCGCTGTGTGGCCCGATACCATCCGCCAATTAGCGGGCTGCCAACGTGTCTATCGGTCGGTATCGGCGGCGGCGCCTTCGCCGCGCCGCGCGCCGCCGCCTTTTCCTGGTTGGTGCGAGGGCGGCACCACCGGCGGCGGGCGACGGCGGTGCGCAGGCGGTGTCACCGCGCGGGGACGAGAGCGGCGCGCGGGCACGACCCCTGCCCCGCCCGGCGCTTTTTGGGCGGCGAGGAGGCCGGCCGCCACGACGCCGGCTGCAGCCGCCTGTTTATTTCTGCGCTCATTAATCGGGGGCCGTCGAGCGCAGACGGCGTCCAATTAGCCGTGAATGGGGTGCACAATCGCCCCGGGTGGTGGGGGGAGGGGGAGGCGCAGATGGCCGGCTCAGAGTCAGCGGGGGTCTGCGAGACGTCGAAAGACGTCCAACAGCGGTATGGAGAGCCTGGCGAACGACCATGATGTCACACTGCAGGCTGATACACGCTGACGACATGTTTCTATGGATGCGGAGAAACCTTCGCATTCGAGCAACGCTCAGGAAAAGCGACTCCCGGTTCTGTAAGTTCGAATGTAGCTTGACCTAGACACACGGCTGCCTACCTTGGATAGAGCCACGGGCAGCCGTGAGCTGAGCTTCAAGATGCACAAATGGTGTTCATGTCACCGCAACGAGCCCCGCATGCTAAGTAATGTCCCTAGTCTGGTGCCACTGGTGGAAGCATCAAACGTTTAAAGCAGCAGGATCTAAAACATTTGCACATTCATTGTTGGCAAACCAGAGAGGACCTTGATCAGGTGCGAGGACACCCGACGGTCGGAAAGCTGCGGGCCCACAGCAGAGCCGTCAAAATAGGCCAAGCACGCCACCTGATCTGTCCTAACAGGGGGCCTCGGCCACCGTCTCACAGGCGTCAGCCCGAGGCGGGGTGCAACTCCGCCTCCTCAGTGTGCGGTCCGAGCCACCACCTGCGCCGGTGCCGTCCGAGCGCCTGTTCAGCACAGTGCGGCATCAATCTGCCGCAGACTCTTCCACTGGACAGCACCAGAGTGGATCAGCGACGGCGGCGGCCGCCCCCGTCATCTCCAGCAGAGCCAGCACCGTCGGCATGTCGCTCATATGTCGCGGCCGCCCGAGGCGGGGGGGTTATGGCGCGTCGGCAGCAGGCCTTCAGGCTTCAACCAGCGGCCAGAGGCTTGTCGCCTGTCACCGTGGCTATGACACATCCAATTTACTTTAATGACTTTGTGCGGCCTGTAAGAAATTTAATTAGAGAAACAACGCCCTGTGTCTAAACCTGAATTAATTGTCCGGCGGCCGCGTCGTGAAAACTTCGTAATAATGGCCAGGCGGCCGAGCTGGGACGAGGTGGCAGTGTTGACACAACGCAGACAAGCGCACGTAAAATTGGACGCTTCAGACCACTAAGTACTTGTCTAAGTAATGCAATAACCGGCCGGTTTTTGTTGCTTAGGACGAGGGAAGTTGACGGCTTTGCTCCCAGCCAATGCCAGTGCAATCTCACGCAGGCAAGTTGCGCTGCACTGTACTCGGGACACCTTTTTGTCCCCTAAAATTCTAACATTGAAAACTACTCCAATCCAATAATCCAGCATTCAAACGTCGCTCACAAAATTCGTCGAAACCCGCTCAGCGCCAAGCATGTCCAATGGCAGTAAAGTACTGAGCACACCGGGTGCTTCTGGCGGCCATATCAAGTCTCCTTCCCACTGCACAACAAGTCTGCTCCAGAGTTTGCCCGCCGCCGCGTCCCGGTGGTCTCCAGAGACCGCAAGACATGCGCCAGAGATCCCTCCTCATCTGTGGCCGCGACAGGGCAGTCGGCTCCCACCCCGCTCCGTCGCCCACTCCGGCCGCGACAGGACAGTCGGTCTCCCACCCTCTCCCCCTCCGCCGCCCACCGCGGCCGCGGCAGGGCAGTCGGTCTCCCACCCCCTCCGCCGCCCACCGCAGCCGCGAGAGGGCAGTCGGTCTCCCCCCCCCCTCCCCACTCCACCGCCCACTGCGGCTGCGACGGGGTAGTCAGTCTCCCACCCCCTCCCACCCCTTCCGCCGCCCACTGCGGACGCGACAGGGCAGTCGGTCTCCCACCTCCTCCGCCGCCCACCGCAGCCGCGACGGGGCAGTCGGTCTCCCACCCCCTCCCTCCTCCGCCGCCCACCGCGGCCGTGACAGGGCAGTCGGTCTCCTAAGGCCGGCCTCCGCCCACCTGAGATAGTCGCGCCGACAGAGGATCAGATTGGCCTTCTCGTAGAGCGTGGAGCCAACCTCGCCGAGCCGGCAGTCGCAGGCGCCGCACTTGAGGCAGTCCTCGTGCCAGAACTTGTTGACCGCCTTGAGCAGGTAGCGGTCGGTGATGGCCGTGCCGCAGCCAGCGCACGACTGGGCCGGCGACGTGTTCGCGCCGCTGCCGCCCACCTCCGGCTTCTTTCGGTCTGCGGGCGGAGTTGACCTGGGGTCAGGGCAAGTCACGTGTGGGCCGCGGGCAAGACTCCAGCCTGGTGTCACTCACGCCCTGGAAACTGGAGACGAATGGGTTAGGAAGCAGACCAGCTTCACGACATCGCTGGGGAAACACCCGATAAACCGGCAGCGTCCTCAGCGTTCCCAGTAGCGTCCTCAGCGGCACTAGTCATCCCGGAGAGTCCGCACAGATGCCAGTCAGACACTGCACATGGACGGTCTCATCCGGGTGCAGATACCCTCGTCCACGTACAGTTATATATGACTGCGTGCAGCATGTGCAGCCTGCCGAAGGTCTCCTTCAGTGAAGCAGACTCCACCATCGTTTGGCGAACTGTACAGCTACATGAGGACTGACAGCACTGGTGCACAAGGACTGACTGCCAAGCTGCATGAGAACGCTTGCGTCACGATGATAGCAGCCCCCATCCAGAAGAGGATCAATATTCTCATGGACAGCAACCAGCAGTCGCAGTCAGCGGCGCAGTTCGCTGTGTCCTTGTGCCCTCATCTAGCGGCTCGTCGTCACTCAAAGGGGGAGGGGTGGGGGGCATGAGGCACAACTGCAGTCCTCCTGGATATCCCACGCCCCTCCCCGCGGTGAGTGAGCTCATCAGCACCGGTGTTTGTCCCATCGGAGCCGACCGACGGTCAGTGCGCGGTCGGAACCGACCGGGCGGCGCGTGGAAGGCCGGAACGAGATCAGGAACCATACTGGAGCGCGCAAGACTAAGACCGAGACCGGAGCAGCTGTTCCCCAGCGAAAGTCACCTGTGCCACCGGGTAACCCCCCACCCACCCACCCTACCGGGCGCCACCGCCGGCTGACGGTCAGCTGACGCCAGGCAACTGACGTCTTCTGACGCTGGATGACTGACATCAGACGACTGATGTTCACTAACACCAGGCGGCTGACGCCCACTGACGTCACACGACTGACGCCCACTGATGCCAGACGACTGACGTCCACTGACACCAGACGACTGACGTTGGACGACTGACGTCTACTGATACGAAACGACTGACGTCCACTGACGTTAGACGACTGATATCCACTGACACTTGACCACTGACGTCCACTGACGTTGGACTCCTGACGCTGGACGACTGTTATCCACTGACACTTGACCACTGACGTCCACTGACGCCGCCCGCAAAAACAGTGCCGGCTCATTAGACGGCGGCGGCAGTCGCGTAATGAGACGCCAGGCGCGTCGCGCCGCGTCGCGTCCGGGCCCCTCCCCCAGTGGCGGGGGGGGGGGGGGGGGGGGGGGGGGCGGAGAGGGGAGGGAGGCAGCGGGACGGCGGGATGCGGGCGTCGCTGATTGGCTTCCCGTGCTGTATTTGTTCAGTATCGTCGTGTGACCATGCGGGATGCGCCGGCGGTGGCGGCGCCCGAGAGATGAAATACAAACAGAGCCGGCGCCGCGCCTTTGTCGCGGCGCCGGCGCAGTCCGAAGCCGACACCGAGGATCGTCTGAGGCCCCGACCAGCGCAGCCGGTGGTGGAGACGGCGCCGATGAGGAACGGAGGCAGCGTGGCCGAACGGACCGACGGGCAAGGAAGACAGTAATGGAAGGGAGTGACCGCCGGAAAAGCGTCGTGACGGCAATGCTTCATGAACAGCGGAGGGCTTGCTCACGGCTCAGTAAACGAGAGATCCATGGCAGTCCTCAGGTCATTGGCAGGTTGGTGGCTCTGGAACTGAGAGCCATTCGATGATCAGCGTGCCTAACACGATTCTGGAGAGTCACTGAGTAAGCCCGTTCTGATGATGGACTGGCGACCCCCGCCACAGGCTCCGTCGAGTGGAAGTGCCCTCCGCTGCGCCAACTCTTCCGAAAAGCTCATCCAAAAACGTAATTAGTCGACCGAAATTTATTGCCGACCAATCTGGAGTTAAATCGTTATTAAATTAAAACACAGTCGTGCCAACCGCCGGCCACGTAGCATTTTATTTTCCGCATAAATCAGCGAGCTACCGGAATTAAGTACACCGCCGGCGATGTAATTCATTAGCGGCCGGCCGCCCGGCGGTTCCGGTCGACCGCAGCCGCAGTAAAATTCATAGAGCTAATGGCCGCCGGCCAGCCGGCTCGCACGCCAGTGGCCCGGCCCGCCAGGCTTTGTCGACTGATGGCCGGAAAATTGGCGTTAAATTGTTATCGATGCGTTTGTAATGGATTATTCCAATCGGCGTGGTGCGTGCGCGCGCCCGACCGGCGCCCCTCGTTATCGTGCCGTGCCTGTCCTCGTTCCCGTGCCAGTCTCCAGTCCCCAGTCCCTTGTCCCCGGTCCCCTGTCCACAGTTCCAGTCCCAGTCCCAGTCCCAGTCCCAGTCCCCGTCCCAGTCTCATCCTCGTCCCGTGCGCGCGTACGTGCGTGCATGCGCATGCACGTACGTGCGTGCGTGCGTGCGTGCGTGCGTGCGTGCGTCCGTGCGTCCGTGCGCGCGGGCGGGCGTGCGCACGGTGCGCGTCAGCAGCGGCGGCGGCGGCGCAGGGTGTCGGCCAGCCGACACCTGCCCTGACAGACCGTGCGCCCTCAGCGCCGCCCGCGGGGTACCGCTCGGCGCCCGCTCCCACGCCACGTCACCGCCAGGCGTGCGTCGGACGCGACGCGCGGTGTCGACGGCGCGCGCCGCACACTGCGACCCTCGGCGTCGGAGTTTCGAAGACAATCAGCCCGACGCAGTCGCGCAAAAAACCGCCGGCGCCGGAAATCCATCCCGGCCGAACAAAAAGACCATTAAACACTCGTCACATTTCTCAAATAATGGCACAACATCCCGGTTTCATTTGGCTAACAGTGGGCGTTTGATTGGACGAGCAGTCGGGACGACTGATTGGACGTCGGCTTGCAGGCCGGCGCGACTGATTGGTCGGCCAGTCTGGCCGCCGGCGTGACCGCGACGCTGTGGTTCGGCTCGACGGGGTGCGGCGACGACTGATCGCCCTAAGAGCCGACGCCGGCCGGCCAGCGGCGCGTTCGACGACTAGGCGCAGCTAAATGAGGCCGGCGCTCGCCGACTGAAGCGACCGCTCCTAAATCAGGGCGGCCACTCAGTCTGGAGGCCCCGCGATGCAAGACCAATCATGATCGCCGCCGCATCGAACGACGCATTCAACGGCCGTGGTTATTAGTGTGCACCATCCCACGCCAGTCGCCACCACGGAGCCAGTAACCGACTAACACCGGCTGCTGAACCACAGGCCGAGGTTAGAACATTGGCTGTTGGTTTACATGCAAACAAATGACTCGGGGACCGCGAGAGGTGAGACGGCCTTCACATACTAATTTGATGGCGTGCTTGTTCAATGGGGCGCGAAGGTATGATCCCGGCCGCGTGATGACCCGAATTTCCCAAACAGTCAAACGGACGGGAGACTGGCAGGGCACGAGGTTCGGTGCTAGCATTGGACTGTGACGTTCTCCGCCCCTAATATATCTCTGTTCAAGGTAGTACGCCTTGCTACAGGTGAAACAGATCAGGCCAAAGACAGCTCGCCTGGGTGCCGATTCGCCACATTTCCGATCTCGAGCGTCACACGAGGGTCACAGACAGCACATTCCACGCCAGACGTCCCAGCAAGGATGTCAGGGGTGACAAGTTGGCTCAAACTGTCAGAATGCGAGTGGCAATCTGGTCAGGCCAGCTGGTCATATACATCGCAATCCACATCAACAGAATCGCATTGAGTCCCAGAAAACGGCCAACACTACAACACATTTGCCGCCCAATTTTCGCGACTGCTGCGTCCCGGTGGATCACCTGCACGTGCGTCGCGCGCCGGTGCCCACCCCAGCTCCGCCTACTGACCGTGACTGTCAGCTGGCCTCTCCGGCTCCAGGCGGGTCGCCAGCACGACCGGCGCGCTGCCCTCGGTCAGCATTGGCGGCCTCTGCCAGCTGCGTCCTCCCGCACACCCTCAGCCCCTCACGCCACAGAACCGACTGCCGGCTGGCCGGCCGGCCGGCCGGATGCCCGCCACAACGGCAGAGACATCTAGCGGCGCGATGGGACAATGCTCCCCGGCGCGGATAGAAAGGGGGGGGGGGTCGTAGCCGGGGACAGAGTCCTGCAGCGGAGGAGGGCCCGCGATGAAGTCGTGTCACCGAGTCGTGGGGGTCTGTCATATTTCAACCAGTCCGTGGTACGAGGTTGGACAGACCGAGGGGACGCTCCGACCGGGAACAAATACAGCCGAGTCGCGGGGCAAATGACTACGGAGCGCAAAAGGCTGACACGCAAAAGGTAGATCGTTTGTGCATATCTGATCCAGCAGCGTGTGGAAACGATGGCGATGCACGACACTGGAAATGTTGGAAATTAACACGGCGAACCCTGCACGTACGCTGAGCTACATTAATCGGCTGTACGGGCCACGAGTGTCGATTTGTATTCTTTTGTGAGGGTCCCGACCCCCCCCCCCCCACAGTAGCGCAGGCAGGGGGACACAGGGGGCACGTGCCTCACACGATGGGGGGATGTGCCCCCTGTGATAAAAGGCCCGAAAAGCCAGCTAGAGGTCTCATCCCGGGGCGCCGGCCCACAGGGCCGGCCACTCCAATGCCAGCCAGAGGGCCCTGCGTGCTGATCAGAGGCCTACTCAGTCGAGATGGGCCTATATTCCGGTCAGAGTCCACCAGTAACGTGCAGTCGGCCCTGCGGCGGCATGGGTCTGAGGGCCTATTTTCAAAGCAGGGACGAAGCCGAAGCTAGCGATTTATATTACTCGGGGCCCCACAGAGCCTGACAAGGGCCCTGTGTTGTCAAGGGGTCCTAAGTCGGCCAGAGGCAGTGTTCGAGGAGACTCCAAGCGCCTAGACGGCCCACCGGGTCCGACGATCAAGGACCCGATTGGAGGGTCTAAAGTCATAAAAGGCTGGTCGGAGCCGCATTCGGGGGACCCGACCTGCGCAGACGGACCATCAAATAGCGGTCAGAGGGACCCATGCGCCGATCGGTGAC